AACCTCCAGTGAGGACTTGCACACGAAGTCGCATCTTCACACCAGTTGCAGATGTATTGCAAAAATACCTGTGTACTCGAATTAATCCTTCCTGTGTTTATATCCATTGACTGTGTCCACATTCTCATTGATGTAGAAAGAAACCGAAAAGGTTGTGCAAGAATGCCACATTGAAAATGCTCCACAACGAATTCCCTGCAGTCCAGCTCATCACCAAGGAAGCCCAAAGATTCTGCAGAGAGCATTCATCGCAACAAATTCCAGGCACATTGCACATGCAAAAAAATCGCCACATCCAGCTCCATGTTGTCCGCATTCATCCCCATCAGCGCCATGCAAATTCACGCTTGTAGGCATAGCCTGCATTGAGAAATGCGTCCACCCTGCAGTGAATTAAGAAGGCACAGAAATCAGGACCCTGTGTCCTGGGTGTCGGGGTCAGTTTCTTGCGGAACTGGCCAATCATCTTCTTTGCGTAGCAGCACTCCTCCATGCTTTTGTTGAAGACCTTCACAACAAAGTCATGGTAGGTGATGGGCTTTTCGGCAAAACGACCCATCTTGAGAAGCGTGCATGACCAGTGATATGTATCCTTGATCCATGCAGGCTGTGGCACATTGAAATCGACTTCTTCATAGTCGATGGTGGCATCTATCCAGTTCTCAGCCCACTTGTGGGTTGCTGGCAGTCCAGACTGCACAGCTGGGAATAATGGCGGGGAGTCGCCGGTGTCGGAGATGAATGAGAAGCTTCCAATGACACTGCTGGCACTCTCTGCATCCGAATTCGACTCAACAGCCTCATGGCGTCGCTTAGAGCCATCGGTCATAGCACCATTGTCATGCATTTTGTTCGAATTGGCTTCCACAACCTCCGCAGGCTCTGCGGAGATGCGTGCACACTTCGAACCAGAAGCTTTGGGAGGAGGCAGTGTCGGTCCTTTTGGACCCTGCTTCCCTTTGTCTCCTTCTTTTCCTTTGGATTCACCTTTGAATTCTCCCTTCGCCGCATTCTTGCCACCTTTGTCATCTTTGCCACCCTTCTCATCTTTGCCACCTTTCGCAAATTCTGGCTTACCACCTTTCTCGAATTCTGGCTTGCCACCTTTTGTAGAGTCTGGCTTCCCACCTTTGTCATAGTTCTTCCCTTTGCCTTTCTGCTCCTGAAATGCTTTCTCACTTCCAATTGCAGATGCAGGCAATATCGGTGGGTCTGCCTTTGCAGAAGGAGGTAGAGGAACCTGTGCATTGAATTTTGGAAATCCTGCAGAATTGCCTTCTTCCGGCGCACAGTAGCGATTCGCAATCTCTGCAATGGCTGCTGCGGCCTTCTCTGCTACCGCAATATCCGCATTCTTCTGCGCCACATTTCCAAAAAGTTGAATCACAGGCTTGTCATTCTTTGGATCCTTGTCCACATCCTCAATCCAAGGGTCGTCATTCGGATCATATGGCCTGTCTTGCCATTTCTTGTGATATTCACGTGCATCGACGTACCCTGAATTCCCTCCAGCTTGCTGCAAAGTAGGTGGCGGTGTAATAGGAGGAACCTTCCATGCATTCTGGTTGTAAGCATCTGGCCATAGAGCACCAGGTGGTGCTTTGTTGTCAGCCGATCCAGCTGATGAATTCGTGCCTGTCGGAGCATGCACTTTGGAAGGACTCGGAGGCACATGCGATTCTTCACAGTCCTTCCAGTCATCATCATCAGCCGGGTAGTGGCGGTTCATCGGCGCATTCTTGACTTCTTTCCTATGCACAGTCAAGAGTTCATTCATCTTGCCACCTTCCTCAGCCTTGCGCATGAGTGAGCGCAATTGGTCCCATTCTCCCTGCGTCATGTCCGTTCCCAAGACTGGGTCATTGGGATTGTAAGGCAACGAATTCCCTTTCTGGCCATAGCCATATCCAGAAGCATCACTTTGCCAGTGCTGTGGTTTTGAAGCCACCGTTTCAGGGGTTCCTAAATTTCCGCAACTGCTGAGTTGGGCGTGTAAGTGAATTCTGAAACCTGACATCCTTAGTTCTCCAGGCAGTGTCCTGACTTGCATTCTGTATCCAAAACATTGCAAACGAAAACAAACTTCTGTCCAACCCTGTCCACATCAGTCCAATGCAAAATCAACTGAACATGCAGACATGACTGAACATGCAAAAATCACTGTGTTTCTACATCAATGCAGTTCTTTGACAACAACTGTCTCTCACATCACTACTGTGTTTCGCGTACGCCAGTGTTTCGCGAACATCAAAAAAAACTGTGCTTCACATGACTGTAGTGCTTCACATCACTGTCGTTTGGTTTCAAGTTTGTTTGAAATAAGACATGCAAAACATCTTTGGTTCACACATGCCCAAAAAAAACTTTCCTTCACACATCACACGTCCCCCTTTTAAACTGGCGTCGTCCGGAGACGTGCAAAACTAGAAAACTCTAACAGTTCCACCTGCCACGCAAATTTCCTTTGGGAAAATCATGCACCATGCAGGTCAAAAACGAAACAAAAACGTTTGTTTGGTTTTGGTTGTTCCATGCGACATGCAAAAACAAAACATAAACATGCTCAGGGGTCCTTTCGTCCAGCACGAACTGCGGCCAAAATGGCCTTTGCAAGTTCTTTGTTGTACACACCGGTTGCTGTTCAGTTGACATCATACATCCCTGCATGCTTTTCACACTCGCACCAACCAAAACGCTTTGTGAGCAAATTGCAAAAACCAGCTGACGCACTACAAAAGATAAGCACTTTACCGATAGGCAATCCATTTGGTGCTTGCATACCGGTTTGGCATAAAAACACTTCAGCATCAAATTGCAAACCACATTGTTTCAAAACTCGTTTGGTCTCTTCGCGTTTCCATATGTTGTTGTTCCGGGGCAGTTCGAAAGACCTCGAATTCCCAAGCAACAAATACTTAGAGACGTTCTCCATGATACCTTTCCATGACCTGTCTGCTTCTGATTCGATCGTCGCAGAAAAATTCTTGAGTGGAGACCCTGAGCTACAAGGAGTAGAAGCGTGCACATGCACCCAACGGTAGCCTAACTGCTGGTGAACTTCAACAAACTCTTTCACCTTTTGAAACATGTCTGGTGTTTCCATTCGTTTGACTATACCGATATAGGGCATGCGTGCAACTTTGCATGCTTCTCTCAAAGCCGAATTGGTCCCACAACAAACTTCCACAAACGCAACATCTTGCTTTTGATCAACCGATCAACCCTACTGTTGATGAGCATGACATCGCGCACTCTGTGCAGGTCTTGCATAGGCACTTCAGGAGTCTCAAACCCTAAGCTTGTGCGGTGTCTCAGAAAATCTTTGGTCCCCAAACATTTGGTAAACAAATCTGCCACATTGTCCGTTCCGGCCCTGTGTTCAACCAACAGTTCATTTGAGCTAATTTTAGCTTTCATCCAGGCCATACGAATTTCAACATGCCGACTTCGTTTGGGTATATCTTGTCCTACCAACAATTGCAAGGCTGAAGAGCTATCTGACTCCAGCAATTGTGGCACATCTCTCTCTCTCATTTCACCAATCCCTGTATAAACACGATGGCAAAAATTGCTAAACGCAACAGATTCTTGGGCAACCATTTGCAATGCATACAACTCTGCTTCACAAGAGGACAATGACACAGACTGCTGTTGTCTAGCCAATGACTTATAACCAATGCACCTTCACAAAACACAACTCCACCAGAAATCCCTTTTCTACCATTGAATCTGTATGGAGCAAACGATGCATCAGAGAACGAATGCAAAATTGAATGTCTTGCAGGCCCAATCATCAAATTCTCGTATTCTGGGGATGGTAACCTCAAACATGTTCCCACATCTTCAAACAGAAATCGCAACAAAGAACGAACGGCAGCTTCAGTGCCTTGGTTGGGCTTTGCTTGCTGACTTCCAATTAGACTGAGATACAGTTTCAGGTCGTGCCTAGACTGTGCCATCCACAGAAGCTTGCCAAGTGCTCGGCGAAGTGAATATGCAGAGGGAGAGAGTTCTTGCAATTGATTCTTGTCACCCATGGCCTTGTCCAAAATGCCGGCCACATCCGGCACAGATGCAGATCCCTTTGTGATGTTGAATTCAGTAAAGGTCGTATCCAAAAACTTTGGGTCCACGCCAATCGTCAAGGAGTCATCATCAATTCCACGATGCACATGCCTGCCAATGAAAATTAAACGTCCACCTCCATGTCGTGCAGGAAGGATGATTCCGGTCTCCTTCAAGAGCACGGCTTTGCCAATCGCTTTCTCCACGATCTTCTCAGCTTTCTCTGATTGGCAACAAAGGAGTTAGGTCGTCCACATATGCGACAAGCAGCGCAAGTTCTCCATTCACGACACCTTGATAAATGCATGGTTCGACCTCGTCAGAAGCCAATCCAACACCACGGATGCTGTCACTCAGCAAATTCAGCCAGTGCAGCGATGCATCTCGAAGACCATTCAAGGCTTTATAGAGCAACAAGTAGGCTTGTGAGCCATCAGGCACAGAGACGGAGAGGGGCAGTTTCAGCACAATCACAAGTCCGGAAGAGGTGAATGCATGAAGGTGTGGGAAACATCAAGTCCTTTCAGTCGAAGAGCACGTTGGGCAGCAAGAGTGAGAACGAAATGCAGGCCCTCAATGCTTGGTGTTGGGCTCGAAATTCCCAGCTTTCGTGCACTGATTCCTTTATTCAGGTCCTTTGCAACTATTCGGACTCTGACTCGTGATTCACTTTTGTATGCTGAAACCCATCTACTTGGAATCACACGCATGAGCGGGTGTTTCCTTTTTAATGCACCAACCTCAGCCTGTCCTGCGACCTTTCCGGCACCACATTTTTCTAAATTGCCGATTTCTTCTTTCATACCCTCAAAATCTAGGTCCACGTCAAGTTGCATGAGTGAGCTATCATCAATTACCTCATCTGGTTTCCATGTGGCTTTGGCAAACATTGTCGTGTTATTTCTGAAGTCAACACGGACCAATTGCTCAAGGCAATGGCATTGCACGGCGACAATGCAGACCTCAGGGAGTTGTTGCGAGATCCGCAGGTGGATGTGGCCTTGAAGCGAGCATTGGGACGAGTACTTCAGGCAACTTCGAGCATCATGCACCGCAGCCAGATCCGGTTGCGTGGTCATGCGGCTGGGGGCATTATGGTTCTGCGCATCTGTTCGTCACGCCCAACATCGCAGATATGCGCTCGTCCTTGCGACTTCAATTGCACTTGCAGAATGCAAAAGTGGAAGAGTGCAAAATTGATTTGGACAGGGGGGGAGGCGGAGATGCCCAAATTGCCCAGCGCAGTTGCTATGCGACGGATTGTCGCGAGCGATCCCGTCGCTCAGCTCGTTGCTTTGCCTTGATGATGATTTGTTCTGTGAGGAGGTGTTGGGCATTCTTCCACCTTTGGCCAAGGGAAGTTTTCGTGTGGGGGTGGCAGCAACCTTCGAGGATGGCATTGCGAGTTCTCTGCAGGGAGGTGGTTTCGGTGATATTGTGGCGTTGAATGGCCCGTTGGAGACTCAGGGTCGTGGTTCGCCTCCAAAACACGACGACTCCACCGCTGCAACTCAACGACCAACTCACCATGCTGCACCCGATGCATCAGTTTCCGCAAGCGATCTCCCAAGTCGTGTCCCAGCAATATAATAAGCATGTGAGGGTGCAAAGGCCTTGTCGGAGCAGTTGAGCAGTCCGACACAGCCACTGTCTCTGAATGAACGTCAGCGATCAGAATGCGGTCACCAGTATGAATCCGCGCCTTTGGTGCCTACGGAGCCGGATGGACACGAATTGGAAGCCTTGAAGTTGGGCGGATCCGTGGCTGGCAAGGTTTTGACATTGACCGGATGCTGTGCTTCTTTGCGACCCAAGTATCTGCGACGCAGTGAACGTTCTGCGGGAGATGGTCTTGAGTGGAAGAAAAAATTCTGTGAGGATTACAGACGTTTGGTGATCCAGAATCATTTTCACAAATGCACGAAATCATGTTTCAAAAAGTTCCTCGCAATGAGCTTGGCAAAGTTACAGTCGAGGTCCCTTTCTGGCCGCCATGTTTCCACTAGTTTTTTGGATCCTGTTTTGGAAGCCATGATGAAGCAGGTTTGTTGGCATTCGAGGCGCTCCAAGGCTTACCGAGGCCTGCCCGAGGCACGCATGGCAGCCTCAAGGTTGCTGCGCATGTGTTGGTCAAGCCGTGGTTTGCCACGCCTCCTCCTTGCACCTTTCACTGCTTCGTCAGAAAAGTGAAAAAAATGCCTATAGAAGATATACATCTTGCGCTGGCTCCCAATCCAAGAGTTTTACTTGGTTCCTGTGCGCCTTCTAGTGCAGTTTCTGTTGCAGGCGGTTGGTGGGTTGCTGCGGAAGGTCACCTCAACCTTCGAAACCTACTTGGGTCAGCGTCCAGGACGTCGTCCTTAACTCACTAAGACCGTCCACGCAACCAAGTCAACTACTCCCAGAGCTCAGCCACTTTTACACACACAAGCAACAAGGTGTCTTGCTCATGTCGCTATGGTTCTTGTTGGTGTGTCACGCCTTGACACAAAATGATGCGGAGTCGCCAGTTAGCATCTTTCTGCCAACTTCACAAAAGCGATCAAAAAACACATGTCCTCACAAAAAGTCTTTACATCAAGACATGGTTTGTTTGTTTAAATAAGTTTGAGTGTTTGAAAAACGTTGAAACATTTCAAGCACCAAAACGTGGTTCATGATGTCTCCCTCAGATCTGTTAGCAACTCCAGTTCTGAATGCCTTTCAGAATGTTGCTCTCGCTATCATCATTGAGAGACAAAACAAACTAAACTTCTCCGATCAATGGCAAACAAAGTTCCTTCTTCCGAAGTCACAAAATGAATTCTACGATCTTCTCACGATTCCTTCGTGCACTTCGTCGACGACAACTAATGCAAAAGGTATGGAAAATGGTTTGATTTTCCATGTCACTATACAAATTTAAATCCTCACGATGTTCTCCGTGCAATCAAAGTACTCAAAGAAGACGAAAAATATATCGTTGTAGGGTTTCGTTATCTCCAATAAAACGTGCAGAACATGAAACGTGCAAATACGATGTCAACCATCACGGATGAGCTCACCATCAAGGTGAAAACCAAATTCACTTCTTCCAATGCAGAAAAGACCAAATGGATTCATCTGACTACAGATGTCAAATTTTCACACCCCCTTTTGAGATGAACTCCATTCCATGTATAGCTGTAACCCATCCAGACTTCAGCACATATCGCCCAAGTTCGACAGGTCAATACATAAGGATGCCCTTAGCCGAAGGGCTACATAGTGACCACTCATCCAGTTCGACAATCTTGCAAACTACAGTTGTCCACATAGAATGAGATCCTGTATAGATCCAACCGCCATCACAGTGTCATCAATCACAAAACTCTCGACGCAATGTAGTTCCTGCATAGAATGGCACATTAGCCGCTTTGCAGTCCACCAGATCTCGGGCCTTAATGTACCTGGACCAATCCCAGGCAGGACCCTTCGCTGAGTCTTTGGTCAAATGCTTTCGACACCATGAAACATAGCTGGGGTCTTCCTCGAAGACAATCTTATAACTCTTCTTCTCTTTCTCATACTTTCCAAATGCAAACTTGGTCTTTCCCCACATAGCCATATTTGTAATACCAGCTGGAAGCCAGGCCTTTGTGGCCAAATCTTCGGTGCCTCCCACAGGCTCCATGAAACTACTTCCAACCACCCAATCTGACTCTGTGTCGACCTCAAACTCTGCATCTTCAATTCTGCGCTTTGATGCATCGGTCATTGCACCACTTGATTCAGTTGTCGGCAAAGGCATCTGAGAAGTACGACGCTGTGCCAACTGCTGAAACATCTTCTCATCCTCAATGCTCCAATTGGATGATGCCATGGCTGCAAAATCAAACCGCGTCCGGTAGTGAAAAAGCACTAGACCGTGGCTAAACTCTTAGGAGCAATCAACCTAGAACGTGAAACGAAGTGTCGAACCGCCATCACTCTCGTGATAGGATCAGTGACCTTTCAGATTGTTCTGCGCTGCGCGCACCGCATCTTACAGCATCGCGCAACAAAACTCTGCACAAAATGAAACACGGTGAAAACTCCTGTTTGTCTTTGGCAACGTTTATTTGAAAACAACGTGCAAACAGAAATGAAACGAAACGAAACAAAACGTGGATCCAACTTCTGTCTCTCTCTCTGTCACAGGGCCCCCTTTCAAACGCAAATTCAACTCTTCTTCAAAGCATGTTTGACTGCAATCAAAATATATCTTGCCAACTTTCGGTTGTAAAACGCTGTTTCAGTATAGTTGATTTGATAAAGTTCTGCGTGAGTCTGACATGTGCATGTAGAAAGTTTGGAGTGGAGATTTAATGCAAACCAAGCTGAATTGGAAACAAACTTCAATGTGTTTCCAATCGGAATACCATCCTTGTTCTGACATCCAGTCTTGCACAACCTCACTAAAGCCTCATGCCTCATGTCAAAACTCTCCAAAAGATTCACTGTCTCAGGTCGGGACCAAATGGTATTTCGTTCTGGAAGCTCAAACGAACATGAGTCTGCATGTTTGAAGTAACCACCAATCGCGTTGATGATCTCATCCCATTCCTGGTCCTTTTCAGTGACTGAGTCCGGATTGAAATTGCGAAGCGGACTTCCACTTCCACAAGGAGTCGATGCATGAATATGCACACAAGGCGGACTTGAAGAGTTCCACTGTCGGATGCAAACAGCTACACGACTCAACGTTCCAGAACTCTGCACCTTAGCAACTACACCAATGTATGGGACCTTTGAAACTTCACAAACCTTTCTCAAGTTCGAATGTTCCGAACAACACAGTTCTACAATCGCAATTCAAGAACACTGAGTCAACACTTGCTGCAACACACACAGCTCACGAAGTTCTGCTAACTCAGCTGTCAAACCATCTGGAACAACAATCCCAAGAGCATAACGGTGTTTGTAAAAAGCTTTAGCACTCAAGCATTTGGTGAAAAGATCTGCTGGATTTTCAACACCGCTCCTGTGTCTCAATTTCAACAAACCCTCTCATCTGCTCTCGTAACCAATGCAATCTTATTTCAATATGTCGCGAACGTCGTGGCACGTCCATGGATTTCACAAGTTGCAATGCGGAGCTTGAATCACTCTCCAACCAAATCACAACTTCTTCTGGCTCATCGATCTCATGAAGTGCAAACAGAAGACGGTGAACCAGTCTTCCAAATGCAACACTTTCTTGACACACAGATTGCAAACCATAGAGCTCTGCCTCACATGAGCTCAAGCTCAAAGCTTGTTGTTGTCGGCTCAGAGACCTTACCAGTGACCTCTCAAAGAAAACAGCTCCACCGCTAACACCTTTGCGGTTGTTGAAACGATACGGCGCATGTGAAGCATCGCTGAAAGAGTGGAGATGGACTGATCTCAGTTGAGTATCGTCAACTTGACTCATGATGGTCTCATCTCTGCTCGGTAGACACAAGCATGCATGCATGTCAACATACAAGAATCTCAAAACTGCTTTCAATGCTTGTTCAGTTCCGTGCATCGGTTTTGCTTGCTGCGTTCCAAGAACAGACACCCATGTCTTCAAGTCATGACGCACCTGTGACAACCAAAGCAATTTTCCCAACGCCTTCCTGAAGCGTGAGTATGCTTCATCTGACAAAGGTTTCTGAAAGTTGCTATCCGTGAGTGCCTTTTCAAGATGTCCTGAAATGTCAGGCACATTCTCAGACCCACGGGTAACACCATAATCCAGAAACGTAGAGTCAAGATAATGTGGATCAACACCCAGAGTGATCTCAGAGGAATCTCTCTCTCTCTTGATAACACGACCAATAAAGGTCAGCGATCCTCCTTCTTCTCCGATCTCTCCAGTTGTCTTCACAGGCACTACAGACGACAAAGTTGCAACCACATGTTCTTCGGCTTCCTTAGTGGTCGACAACAACAAGATGTCATCTACATACACCACACACAAGCAAAATCCAATTTCGTGACCATATTTCACAATCTGTCCACCATACACACATGGTTCCAACGAATCAGACCAAAGGCCTACATGTTCAACCGTAAATGTCAAAAGCTGCAACCATGCCAGTGAAGCATCACGTAACCCGTTCAATGCCTTTTCAAGCAAATAGTAGGTCGCTTCACCTGATGGAAAACTAATTGACAATGGCATTTTCAAGACAACATGTACGCCAGTTCCCAATGGGCTATGCATGAAGGCATGACTCACGTCCAATGCACGCAGAAGCATCTTCCGTGTTGCTGCCATTGCAAGCACCAAATGGACACTTTCAATCGAAGGAGTCGGACTGCTAAATCCCAAAGATCTAGCTGAGGAGCCACGATGGAAGTCCTTCGCAACAATCCTGGTTCGAACCCTCTCACTGCTTTTGTAAGCTGCAACCCACCTGGACTGGATCAAACGAAGGTTCGGAACAGCCTTCTTCATGTCGTCCAGTTCTGACTGGGTGATGATGCGGCCAGTCTTGCAGTGTTCCAAGTTCCTAACCTCTTCCTGCATACCCTTGAAACCTTGTTCCAAATCAAGCTCTTGCAAACTCTGGTCATCTATGATACTGTCCGGTTTCCAAACCAAGACATCTTGACCTCCAAGA